GTGAGCGAGGACCAGGGCACAGAGCTGGCAGCTGGTGGGACTCGGTGCTCTGCAACATGAGGGGCAATGACAAGCTCAGGGTAGGAGCCTGCTGGGGACAGAGCCCAGGGACACTGGCCATGCTCCCTGCAGCCTGGCGTCCCTTCAGGCAGGGGAAGGCGGGAGCTGCACCCACTTGCCTGCTAGCCAGGTCACTGGATAGCAGTGACCACCTCTCTCCTTGTCCCCACTTATCCCCCACAGGCAGCCCCTAGCAGTGAGCAACCCACCCGGGTCCCCTGCACCCCCGGAGGGACCGGTATATGGCTGCTCCACAACAACCTCCCCTCCTGGGCCCAGAGAGCATGTGACGCCTCCCGTCTGCTGCTAATAAAAATCCATTTGGCTTCATGTCCCTGTCTGTCTGTGCATCCTGAGATCCTGCAAAAGCAACAACAACCTGGGACCCTGCCCTTAAGATGGGGAGCAGGTGCAGGGACACAAGCCACCCCCCCCAAGCCAGGCATGCAGAGCTGGGTGCACTCTGGCCAGGATATGTCACCGGGAGAGGCCATCTGGGTAACCAAGCCCCGAAAGGGACTGAAGCAGGGGCTGAGAGGCTGGAGGGGGCACGGGCAGCTGGGGAGGGCGCGGGCAGCTGGAGGGGGCACAGGCAAGACTCCTAGGTGTGCTCAAGAGAACAAGAAGGCTTGTGGGCAGGCACCACCTACTGTTTGCCTTGCGGAGTCCCAAGCAGAGCACACTAGGAACTCCACAGGGGCCTGGGTGTCCTATAGCCCACACCAGCCCATTGCTGGCAGCCAGGTTCACATCAGACTCCTTAAACCAGCCTCTCAGCCCTGCAGGCTGAGGCCACTTGTGCTTCCACAGGAGGCCCCAGACTCACTGCAAGTGCTACACTGAGACTAGACCCTTTATCACCAGGCACTCAGATCAGAGGGTGACAGGAAGAGATACACTGGGTGAGGCCAAAGGGCAGGATCAGAGGATAGTCTGTCCCCATAGGATGGGGCTGCACTGTCCCTTCTCCACACTGATGTGTTGCCAACACGGAAGCTGCCCCGCACTCCAACATCCGACACATCGAGAGGTTTCCTTAGTGGGCTCAGCAATCAATGGGCTCACAGACCTTCAGCACTGGAATCAGCTGCCACCCACTCCCCTTTCCTCCCTGACATCAGGATGGGGCTGGAAGTTCCAACCTTCTGCCCCAACTATTTGCGACACTCACCCCCCCAGCCATGGAGGGGCTGCCAGCTGTCAGCTCATCCACAAAACATCACGCTAAAACAAAACCCTGACCTAACTGCAGCATCTTGTTCAACAAAGCTGCAGTCATTCAGTTCTCCGCCACTAAGCTCAGCTAAAGCATACCATTTGTCATCAAAGTCAAACTTCGGTAAATGTACTAAAAACAATTTTGCTCATAACTATGCTCACAAGACACCTATTGTGCCATAGCCTTCAGCTAAACTTACCTATTGTGTGTGTGTGTGTGTGTGTGTGTGTGTGACTTCTGCTTGCTACCCCACAAAAAAGACAAGCTCTCAGTAATCAGCACCTCAGACTTTGGAGGGTACTCCTTTAGGGACTGCCAGTGTTAATAAAATTTCCTTTCTTCTCCTGAGCTCCTGGCTACTGTTAACCCAATCTTCCCGAAGTAATACCACTCACAGAGCCAGGCTCTGGAGCCCACCCTTAGCTGCCTGCTCAGCTGCAGCTGCAGCTGGGCTGGGCTCAGCTTCTTGTGCACCCACGTGACAGACAGGAGCTGCACCAGACATGAAAGCCAAGGCCACCGCGGCCTCCTACAGCAGGCACCGAACTGACACAGAGGTGAGTTCCCAGGAAACACCGGTGCAGACACGGGGACACACACTAGGATGTCATTACAAGGACCTTTGCTGCAGTTCCTCCACAGAGCTCTAGAACTTGTGGCGCAGTGACCCACCTAGTAATGGAGGCTGCCACATGAGTCTGTGGACTGCCTTTAGCCAGAGGAGAAATAAACTTTTAAGGTCTCCCAGACCAGGTTTCTTTTTGTTTGCTTGCTTTTGAGATAAGTCTCCCTCCCTATGTAGCCCAGGCTGTCCTCAAACTCCTAGCAATCCTGCTCCTGCCTAAGTCTCCTGAATGCTGGGAACGTAAGCGTGCACCACTACACCCACTTCCCTTGCCTCCAGTCTTTGACTCTTGTTCTTACAGGCTGTAGCCTGAGTGGGCTGGATCTCAGTTCCCCCTAGAGGCAGAACAGATATTCCAAAGCAGAGAGTTCTGTCCCCTACCAGGTCAGCGGGGCCACCGGATGAGTTTCCCAGTCCTATTCCGGCAGCACAACTACAGTGGTACCGGGAGCAGCCAGAGGACTTGGTCTGTGTATGTGCACATGTTCATGTGCATGTTCATGTTTGCTGAGTGGGGCCAGGCCGAACAGGAGACAGGCACAGTGGCTCAGTCGGGACCCACTAGACTAGGGTCTGAGTTCTGCGACTGCCCTGGCCACCACGAGGCAGATGTGGTTCTGCTGCCTAGGGCTAAGAGGCTGCCAACAGAAAGACGTGAGATGCTGGGGCGCTGGGAAGACCTAGCACCTGCCTGGCCCCTGTGGCTCCAGGCACTGCCTCTGGGCATGGGCAATGAGACCAGAGAGGCCAGACAGCTTGGAGGGAACCCAAGAGCAAAGGCTCCACCTGCCCACACCCTGCCCCTCCCTGGCCACCCCGGTTGTCCTCTGCCAGGTTCCCCAAGGAAACCCCACTCCTGGTCGGTAAGCTCCCCGGTATCAGCTAGGCCTTGGAGAGTCAGAGCCACGGAACTCACCAGTCCAGCACCAAGGCCCAGGGTTAGAGTTAGACAAATTCCAGCTGAGCAGCGAGTCTGCAGTGAAATGTTAACTTCCCACCTTGAAGGCTGCAAAGGCTACACACCCACCCCAGGTGACCTAATCACTTGGAAGCCTTACAGCAGTGACCACAGACCTTTAGGGCTTTCCACGACAGCTTTGGCACATGCACCATAGGTTCATCACCACCACCTTAGAGAATACCCTTTCCTCCTGTCCTTATCTGTCAAAGGCCCCTTTTAGTACAAATATACCTATTCTTTCTGACACCACTGACCAGCATCCCAAATTAATCTATAAATATTAACCGTTCTGAGGAAAGAACCAGGGTGTTTTGTTTTGTTTCTTAAACACCAGGGACACTAAATCCTATCAAAATAAGATATTATTATCTTCAAACAACATGCACCTGGCCGGCAAGATAGCTCAGAGGACTAAGCGCCTTCTTTGGCAAGTACAGGGACCAGGATTCAATCCCCAGTGCCACATGCCGCACCAACTCTGCTGCCGGGGTGCGCTGAGCTGGTCCAGGCGTGGTGGTGCGCACCTGTAATCCCAGCGCTGGGGAGGCTAAAAACAGGAGGATCACTATGAGTCTGAACCTGGTAGTGAGACCCTGCACCAAATACATAAAATGAAAACAAAACAAACAAAAAATGCGTATCTCCAGACCTGATATGGGTGGGCGATAAAACCGTCAAGACAGGGGCTGGGGAGCTGACTCAGTACAATAAGTGCGTTCCTGGCAAGCGCAAGGGTCTGAGTTCAGTGGGTTCCACAAAAAGAAAAAAGTCAAGACCCAGCAGAAGCATTCCTAAGCCAACAGTCCTATACTCTTCCTTACATTAAAATGAAATATAATGCTGCCTGCTTTTCTTCCAGTTGACGCATTTCCTTCTTGGAATTTGACCAGTTTCTGAAGAGGAAAAGTTAAAATTTAAATAAAGTCCTGCCTTTGTATAACTGATGACTTTACGACACAAATTTAAAATGTTAACAGGACATTTCTTCCGACGCATAACCTGCAATGTTTAAAACTCAGCAACCTAAGACGTCACGCAACTTCCCAATCACAACGTACTAAATCTGCCTCTGTACTTTCCCCTTGCTTTCCCTTTAAAAGCCCAGAAGCCGCACCGGGCGCCAGGCGGGGCTCTGACTTTTTAGGAGAAACCCTAGTCAGAAGCTCGTGGGTGTATTTAACTGCCTCCTCAGCATCCTGGGTGCCATTTCTTCCCGTGTTTGGTGTTTTCTACAACGATTCCCTGTAGTGTTATCAATAAACTCAACTTCTCACTCTTTTTGCCACCAGCGGCACCGGCCTCTCACACCGCACCTCAAATGGCAAAAATCACGAAAATGTGGGAGGTATTGTTCTGCAGCTCCCAGATCAAACCCACTGACGCATGATGCCACAATCCAGTTGCCTCCCCTTCCCCCAAAACTTACATCTATATGTCTTACGGATTTCAGTTTTAGCTCTAACCTTTAGCTTTCGGACCCATTTAATTTTTGTAGAAAGTGTGCTGGCCTCGGTCCAACAGAAAAAAACCAAAGTAAACCGGGCAGGGTGACATGCGCCTACCGTCCAGCTATTCGGAAGGATAAGACAAAAAGAGCGCGAGTTGGAGACCAGCCTGGACCACACAGCGATGTTGTCTCTTGTTTAAAAATAACCAGCTGGGCCGGGGAGATGGCTCAGTGGAATAAGCGCTTCCCTGGCAAGTGCAAGGACCTGAGTTCAATCCCCGGTTCCGCAAAAAAAAAAATAAAAATAAAAATAAAAAAAAATAAAAATAACCAGCTGGCGCCATGGATTGGAGGGGGGCTCAGAGTCTGAGTTCAATCTCTGGTGTTACAATAAACTGCCGTCTCCCGTGCTCCGTACAGATAAAAGCGATAGCGGCCATTGGGAACCCAAGCCTTCTGGCTTTCCTTTCGGGGTTCCTTATCTTTTCTCCTTCCTATCTCTAAGTTGCCCATCACCCTTTTCTCAGTACACTTCCCAATGTATCGCACGTGCGTTCAGTAAACGTAGTAAACCTGTAGGGAGGCGCGAGCTTCCCTTCCGGCCAGGCGGCGCGCGGTCCGACTCACTTCCGGCGGCGCTCCGATGACGTAGGCCAGCGCTTGTACCACACTTCCGGCGTCGCTCCGCACACGTACCAAGCGTAGCGCGCCTAGCCGCGTGAGTTCAGCGCGGCTGGGGAGACGCATGGAGGTCACCGGCGCCGCTCGCTGCGTAGGTCTCGCGCTGGAGAAGGGTCTGCTGAGTGTGGGTACTGAGGGCTCGGAGGTGGGCTGGCAGGAGGAGTGGGGGCGACGGGCCTGGCGTGTGGGCCCGGCGGGGCGCTGGACGCGGCGCCTGCCGGTTACTGCGCACGCGCCTCTGGGCCGCAGCGCCCGCGAGGCCGGGTCTGCAGGACGCCCCCCGCGGTCACCTGGATGCCTCCTGTCCCAGCCTGTTTTCTTTTTGCACTTTAAGACTACATTTGTGGGCTCGTCTTTGCCTAAAACCAAGCTTTCTTTCTTAAATTGCCTCTTGGAAGTAAAAACCGGAAAGGTTTTCCAACGCTTCCCTACTGTTCCGAGGCCCAGCAAGTTTGGGTTAGGACAGATGTTCCTCCGCTTGGAGCTTTTGGACGGACAGCTTTTTATAGCTGCAGTAATCTATTCGTGTGGGTTTTTTTTTTTTTAAATGTCGGTTATATGTCAACTTCCGGAAGTAGGTGAAAAGCAAAAGTGCTTTCTCAAGAAGCCAGGCCCCGGTCTTGCGTTTGACCGACGTTAAACACTTCAGGGAGCAGGACTGCCAGACAGAATTGTTAAAAGCAGCATTTAGAGATATATGACGTATTTTTCGAAGGAGCTGCAAAGATGAACTGTGTTTTGCCCAGTGATGGAAGCAAGGGATAGCAGGCCCTGCGAGGTGGAGTGAGAGGACAACATCTGCTTATCCTGAGGCGTGCGATGTGAAGAGAGAGGAGACTGGGCCTTGTTGGTACAAGCGCTCTTATGATTGATTCGGGAGGTTTTGATCTCAGGTTGAGGCAGGGCTCGGGTTTTTTAGTGTTAAAATACATCCACGAAAATTTGAGGATTTTGGGTCCAGGGTTTTGCAGAATCATTACGATTTAGGATATCCTGTCTTGCTGGCTCTGGATCTGTAATTCTCAATCCCGTGTCAGTGCTCTCCAAGCTTCTCCTGCAGAGGTGCCCGTTTGGGAGGGTGGGCAGAATCTGGTTTTTCCAATACATAATGGATGTGATGTGTCTGGCTTCTTTTCCCATCTACACACACACTTTTTAGTCGTCACTTTTGCAAAAGATTTTTCTGTTGTCTATCTTTTGTTTTATTCTTTGGTCTGTTTACACCTTGAGTCTATTTATAGTTTCTTACATAAGAGAAAATAGGCGATACTTAAGGTCGTGTGTCTGATTTGTTTAACTTGATATCATGAATTGAAAGTGCATCCATTTTACTCAAGATGACTCGTTTATCCTTCTCACTAGCAGAGTAGTACCGGAATCTGAGTTGAACAACTGCTGAGGATTTTGAAGCTTACTGAGACTGAAAACCTTCCAAGCTGTAATGAGTTTTGATAGTTGATAGCATATTAGATCTTATTCTGGAACAAGTCCCCTGTGGTTTTTGCCTCAGAAAGTACTGTTTCATCTGATTAGCCAAAATAAAGGAGAGGGGCTGGTGAGATGGCTCAGTGGACTAAAGCACCTACTTAGAACAAGCTCAGCAAAGCACAGGGACCGAGGTTCAATCCCCCAGCACCACATGCCAGCCAGCCCGCCCCCTGGTGGGCTGAGCTGGACACACACACACACACACACACACACATAAATAAATAAAATTTAAAACAAAACAAAGGAGAAAGATTAAGACTGGCTTTAGGCAGAGGGTAACTGGCCTTGCGTCATTTGTCATGTTTTTCTCCTCTTAAGTTTCTGGGTGGGCAACTGTCCCTCCAGTTCCTCGTTTCTCTTTCCAGCGCTTTGGCCTCACCTTCTAGAAGTATCACCTCTCTGCCCCCCGGGCCGTCATGGCAGCGCACCTGGTGAAGCGGTGTTCGTGTCTGCTGAGAGAAGCCACTCGCCTAGCCCCTGCTCTGGCTCCAGTTGGCCAGCTACGACTTGCCAGAGTGGCCCATAAGACTCTGACCTCCTCAGCCACCTCCCCCAGTTCCTGTTCCCCAAGTTTCTTCAAGGAGCTGTTGGAAAAGGAGCCGGTATTCACCCCTTTCCCAGAGCAGCAAGAGGTGGACAGGCTCATTGAGAAGGCCACCAGGCCAGAGGAGCTGCTCAAGCTGGTGGATGGTGGTCACGGCCTGCACCACAATCACGCGGCCCTCATCCTCATTCGGCTCTCTCGCCTGCTGTCCCAGCAGCCTCAGGACAAGGCATTGCTTCTAAAAGACAAGCGATTTCAGCAGCTTCTCCATATGGTCAGCAGTCAGGTGGGTGCCGCCTGTTTTCTGGGGTATGACAAAGGAGAGCAGCTGGACCGCCGTCTGGGCGGGAACCTCTGCACCATCTTGATAGGTCACTGTTGCTGTGATCCTCTTCCCAGACCCATTTCTTAACAGAAATGAGACCAGGCTGGGTAGCTCATTTCCTCAGTGCTTTCCTCCTAGACCTATGGCCTTGCCTTAGCTTCCCACCCCCACCCAGCATCTGGCTACTGACTGGGTATGGCCCTGGATGGTGGAAAAGACACAGCAGGGTAGATAGAGGTTCCTTGGAGCTTGGGATCCCTTCAGACCTCGAAAGCATGAGCAGGGAGAAGAAACCAGGCACATTTGTGTGGCTGCGTGCAGGGCAGCACAGGACCACAGGAGCCACGGTCGTACCACTGCTTCCCCTGGCCTGCGTTGCAAGGCCGGTGTCGGACAAGTTGAGGAAAGGCTTGTGCTAAGCATGGTGGTTGTGTGTGTGTGTGTGTGTGCGCGCGCGCGTGTGCGCGCACAAGGTCTCACTACAGAACTCAAACTCATAGTGATCCTCCTATTTTCAGTCTCCCCAGTGCAGGGATTACAGGCATGTGCCACCACACACCATGCCCAGACTTGGTCACCAGATCAGTGTGCCCGGGGCACAGGGCCAGCACTAGCACAGCATTTGGTACCAAGGATCAAACCCCAGCTGTGCAAAGTGTTTTTTTGTTTTTTACTTGTTTGGTCTTTTTGAAACAGGCATTTACTATGCAGCTTAGGTTCACCTTGAGCTCACATTGTAGCTCAGGCTGGTCTCGAACTCTATAAACAATCCTTCTGCCTAAGCCTCTCCAGTGCTGGGATTATAGGCGAGCACCATCACATGCGGCCCCTTGGGTCTTTTAATGAGGTAGAGTAGTGCAGAAAACACTAAGCAAAAGTAACACTGTCTCATGGAAATTTTATTAGATTAATTACATCTGTGTAATCCTGCACTGTGTGTATGGACTCAGACATGGGTCTCTTTCTTGCTGAGCCCTAGGTTTGATCACCAGCACTGGGGAGAAAAGACCACTCTGGTCAGCTCAGAGGGATTTGCATGCCTGCCTGACCTGCTGTCTTCCCTGAGCGAGGGATCTGGATCACACTGACCTCATTTCTGGCAGCTCCTTGAGACCTGCCCTGCAGTGCAGAGACCAGGCATAGGCTAGGCCCCCAGGGCTGCACTGAGACGGGAAGTAACCCCACCGATGCGTACATGTTCAGTGGAGCTGACCACGGGTGCTTTGGAGGATGTGGGCTATGCAGGAAGAGTGCCTGGCTGACTAGAGCGGAGCTCGCCTGGAACCTCAGCCTCCAGAATTGACTGGCAGAAGCCCAGTGTCAAGTGTAGCCAGGGCAACATAGCAAGACCCTGTGTCCAAACCTAAAAGTCTAACACCAGCCCTTGGTAGGGCTGAGGCAAGAGAATTGCTAAAGTTTGAGGCCACCCTAAGCTACAAAGCAAGACCCTGACTTTAAAAAAAAAACTAGGGGCCGGGGAGATGGTTCAGTGGAATAAGTGCTTCCCTGGCAAGCACAAGGGCCTGAGTTCAGTCCCTGGTTCCGCAAAAAAAAACCCTAAAGATTGGGGTGCTGGTCAGTACAAAGGCCCTGGTTAAGTCCCCAACACCAAAAAAAAAAGATGCCTAGTGTTTAGCGGGAGCCTGCTCAGGGTCCTGCTTGTGAGGGTCATCAGGGCTTGGTAGTTGCGGGGATGATTTTGCTCACCATCAGAAGTCCTGGGAACAGCCTTGCGTTGAGGAGCCCTGCCTCTGCCCACGGTGAGGCCTCCCAGTGCAGTGTGGGTCACACTTCACTGGAGGCTGTGGGGCGTGCACTTGAGCCAGGCCACTCTGCATGCTGATGTTTCTTCTACTCACGGCAGTTGTTGGATTGCAGAGAAACTTCATGTCACTAAAAACTAGGGGTGGTTTTGAGCTTCTCATTCTCAGAATTTTCCTGAAAAAAAGTTGAGGATTTTAATTCTATAACTAAATACTTATAAGTAGTGAGTTGAGGATGAAAACTGACCTGCAGAGGCCTGAATGCCACCTGCCACTGTCAGATCCTGGTCCTGAGCCCTCGCTGCTCTGGCCTGAGTGGACGCGACCCGCCTGCAGTTGAGGCTGCACCAGGGAAGGTGACACTGTACAGAATGTTCCCAGAGGTGACAACCAGGGCTGGGAAGCTGTTAGAAAAGTGGATGCTAACTGTTCCCTAAACATCTGCCAATCAGCTGCAGTGCAGACAGGCTCACCGAGGTGCTGTGTGTGATGACGCCGTTGTCCTCCTCCCACCCAGGTGTCCGGTGTGTGGCACGGGACCCTCGTGAAGCTGCTGCGGAGCCTGTACACACTGCCGCTGCCTGAGACCTCACAGGAGCTGCAGTCGGTGGAGCAGGAGGTGCGCTGGCGCCTGCGCAGGCTCAAGTACAAGCACTTGGCCTTCCTGGCAGAGTCCTGCGCTACGTCCACACAAGGGCAGTCCGCCCGCGAGCTGCTGGGCGAGCTCCTGGTGCACCTAGAGAGGCGCTGGACGGAGATCGAGGATAGCCGCACATTGGTGGCCATCATGGCAAAGGCAGGCCACCTCTCAGAGTTGCTGATGACCCGCCTGGAGGATAAGGTGCGGGCAGAGAGCAGGCAATGCTTCGCTGCCTTCCAAGGCTCTGGGCCTGTCCTCGGTTGACAGTCCTCTGTGGGAGGGGGGCGTTCCGTGCCTGGCCACAGGAACCCTGGAACCCTCAGAAGTGCAGGTTTCACACACAGAGAGCCTCAGGTGGCCGTTCTGTGGCCACGTTAGCCCATCAGCAGCTTTGTGCTAACGCATGCTGCTTCCCTTCATCACTCCTGGCCCTTTTTCCAAACTCTGTGCCTGAATGGTCTGGGACAGGCAGCTCCTGGCTTTGGCACAAGTCTTAACCAGGCCAGTCCCTGTCCTGACCTCTGTCCCCGAGGCACTGTATCCTCCCATCTGGTGTCTGTCTCCGCCTTCCCACCCCTGCTGTACCTTGCAGTCCAGTCAAATTCGGCCCTTATCTCCGTGGCGGGGGCCGGCCCAGATGGCTGCCACAGCAAGCTCTGCCGCTCATGGGCTCTGGGTCCCCTGCCTGGGGCCCAGGGATAAGTTTGGCTGCGGACATAGCATTGCAGGTTTGGGATGCCCAGCAGGAGAAGGGGGCAGGCCCTGCGTAGAGGGGCTGTGTGGAGTCAGCTCAGGCCCAGTTGCTATCTCACAGGGGCTGCACTGGATGGGACCCCTGCCCCCAGTTCGTCCCTGCTGGCTCAGGCCATCGAGCTCACCCCTGCGCGGCTGTGGTTGACAGTGCCTGGAGCTGGTGGAGCGGTTTGGCCCTGATGAGCTGCGGAAGGTGCTCCTGACGCTGGCAGCTCAGGGCCGGCGGTCGGTGCCCCTGCTGCGGGCCATCTCCTACCACTTGGTGCAAAAGCCCTTCCCTCTGACGAAAGGCACGCTCCTGGACCTGGCCTACGCCTATGGTGAGTGAGTGGCGGAAGTCTTCCTGGGGACCTGCAGCTGTGTCAAATTCGGGGCCCGCCTCACGTGGCAGGCACCGGCCCAGGAGGCTGCCACAGGAACACTGTGACTCATGGGCCCTGCTCCCCTGGCTTGGGTGCAGGGATAAATTAGGTCACAGACACCAGGCTGTACCTCAGGGCTGCGCCGGGCCTCAGGTAGCGGCCCCCTCCCCAACCGAGCCCTGTGCTCTGCTCCATCCAAAGGCAAACTCAACTTCCACCAGAGCCAGGTGTGCCAACGCCTGGCCGCTGACTTGCTGCCCCTCATGCCTAGCCTGACACCCAGTGAGGTGGCCCGCTGCGCTACGTCCTTCGCTTTCCTCAAGTGGCTCAACATGCCCCTGTTTGAAGCCTTTGTCCAGGTGAGCTGCTGCCTCCCTGGGTACTAGGACTCCCGCTCTGCTGGCCTGAGTCCATGGCTGACTCTGGGAACCCCTCAGGGGCAGGCACAGGGTTCTTAGGGGCTTACTGGAGGGGTCCGGTGAGCACTGTTTTCACAGTCCTGGTAGATGGAGTGGGGAAGGCTGAGTGTCCCCACAGGGCTCCCCAGCTGCTGGCCACCTGGGGAGCATCTCTGAAGTCCTCAACAGGGAGCTATTTCCTGTCTTCTGTGACCCATCACTGCTTGGTGGCAGAGGGGAGGGCTTGCGAGCAGAAGCTCACCCTGTCCCCTCCGCTCCTAACCGGCCCAGCACATCCTGCGCAGAGCCCCAGAGGTCACCACAGCCCACCTCTGCAGCATCCTTCTGGCGTTTGCACGTCTGAACTTTCGTCCAGAGCAAGAGGAACAGTTCTTCAGCCAGGTATGACCCTGACCTTCCCCATCCTTGCCCCAGAGCAGCCTGGCCTGAGTGAAAGGACAGGAACCGCAGTACCTGCCAGGGGTGGGTGAGTCACCTGGAAGGTCAGGACCAGACACCCCAACCAACCTGTGGTGGCTCCTCGCTGACCAGGCAGGGTTCTGCCCATTTACGTACTAACTTCTGTGCATTTGGTGACCTGGGGTCACAAGCCAGCAGGCCAAATTTGACCTGGGCTCCCTAGGACACCACTGGGGACTTGGCCAGGGTCCCATCACTGTACCCCAAGTGGGCCTGAAACCCTTCCTGTTTGAGTGCCCATAAGGGGGCTACTGCAGAAGGGCTTCTGCCTCCCAGCAGGTGTAGGGGAACCCAACCAAATGCCCACTCTTGGGGTCTGAGAAAGGTACCTGGTGTCTCCCTCCCAGGCCGCAGCGTCGCCGACTGTGGTCTGCTCAGCTGTTGCTGGCCCTGGGCGCAGCCAGTTTCTCACGCCCTGTCCTTGCCCAGGTGCATGAGCGATTGGGGCCAGTGCTGGCAAGCCTGGAGCCGGCCCTGCAGGTGGATGTGGTGTGGGCGCTCTGCGTGTTGCAGCAGGTGCAGGAGGCTGAGCTGCAGGCCGTCCTGGACCCCGGGTTCCACACACGCTTTCTTGGTGAGTTCTTCACCCACCCATAGTGCACAGTCTGCTGCCCAGAGTGGGTAGCCATGTTCGGCAAGGACAGGAAGGCCACACACCAGGGATCACTGACTCCTTACACTTCTGTCCCCCAGGGGCCACATCTCCAAAGGACCAGAGCACCTTCCAGAAGCTGCTGCACATCAATGCCACTGCCCAGCTAGAGCACCCAGAGTACCGGGGCCCCCTCCTGCCAGCCATGGCCGTGGACCCCACGCCCTTTGCTCCCGACCGGAAGGTGACCCTTCTGCAGCAGGAGTTCCGGGAAGCACTGCGGGCGCTGCTAGGGAGCGCCAGCCTGGGCAGCTTCGATGTAGCCACGCAGTACGGCTGGGTGCTGGGTGAGGGCGCCTCAGCCACAGTGCCCCACCCCATGTCTGCCTGCCCTGCAGCGTGAACAGCCCGGCGGGTTCTCACTGTGCCCTGCCCTCCCTGCCAGATGCGGAGGTGCTGCAGGATGCAGATGGCCAGTTCCTGCCTCTGAGGGACTTTGCTGCCCCTCACCTTGCCCAGCCAGCTGAGAGCCGCCTGCCGCCCCCCGGGTCCAGGAGGTGGGTAGCCCATCCTGCATGCACGTGTCCTAGGTCCCTCCTCCCAGGGGCCAGCAGAGCAGAGTGTCCCCTTTCTCCCCAGACTCGCCATCCTGCTCTGGGAGTTCCCCAACTTCAACAGCAAAAGCAAGGACCTGCTGGGGCGCTTCGTCCTGGCCCGGCGGCACTTGCAGGCTGCCGGCTTCCTGTTGGTGGACGTGAGTAGTGCCGGGCAGGGAGGGCGTTGCTGTGGCCAAGAGCTGGGCGTCAACCCTGCGCCCACCATCGTCACAGGGGAGCCAGGCTTTGCCTTGCAGGGCTGTGCAAAAGGCCTTTAACGCATCCAGCTTTGGGGTGAGCAGGCCGGACTCCTGGCTCACTGGGGAGGGGTACAGCTGTGGAAGCTTTTGGTCATTTTCCGGGGGCACCTGTCTGTAGGGCACCCCATGAACTTGTTCTGGAGTTGGGATGCAGGGAGTGTCTGGCTTTAAGGCCTGTACTACACGATCTCTGTCCTGTTTTCTTTGGGCTTATGGATGGTTTTCACCAATCCTTTCGAATCTAGCAGCCACACTTGGCCTTCAGCACTGCTAGAGCCCCACCACATGGACCCCCAAGGGCATGCAGGGAGGAGGGGCAATTCCTGAGCACAGCCCCTGGTGGTGTGACCTGTCCCTGCCTCCCGCAGGTCCCATACTACGAGTGGCTGGAACTCAAGTCCGAATGGCAGAAAGGTGCCTACCTCAAGGACAAGATGCGCAAAGCGGTGGCTGAGGAGCTGGCCAAGTGATGTGCCACCTCATTGTAACCCTCTGGACTGCGTACCCAGGCTTACTCAGAGGCCAGTGGTGTATGCTGCGTAGCAAGAGGGGTCACCCTTGAGGACAGACATCCTGGTGGCCCGCGGCCAAACTAAGGGTGACCAGCTGCTCCCCACGAGAGACAAGTCTGTTGTGGTTAATAAATCATTAGTGTTGGTGTTCAGCAGCAGGTAGCTTCCTGGGCTTTGTCACGCACACACACACACCCCTCTGCTCCCTCCCAGGTCTGCTTTGGAAGGTAGAATGTGTTCCAGGGCTGCTGGTCCTGCCTTCTTTATGGGAACTCACACTTGTGCATCTGCCCTGCGCCCACAGTGTGGCGTCCTGGGGTTCCAAGCCTCAGATATGGTGTTTCCTGAAGAAGCTGAGTCCTGGAGTTGTCCCCGGTGGCTTCTCATGACAAGTGGTAAGAGGTTGACAACACTTGCAAAGAAAAGGCTCAGTCAATTCCTATAAATTAGAGCAGGTCTGGTCCCGTGCCAAACTCGAATATATGGATGGGACACAGGCCAGATCCCAGCCCAGTGGGAGAAGAGTACAAGGGGCAGTGGCCTGTGCCGGCATAACACACGGCAGGCTTGAGTCTGAGGAAATAAAATGTGCTCTTGCTCCCCTGCTCGAGCCTCTGGCTTTTATTTTGAGGTGATTAGGGTCACTGGTTAGCACTGCTGCAGGGTTGTCCTCCAGTACTGGCTGGGACAGGACTGGCAGACGGCCCGCAGCAGCTGTCCTTGAATGTCCTGTGGCCTGGAGCAGGTGTCCTTTGGGACTGCACCTGACATGCTGTGTCTGTGATCTTGGGTGGCCCAGTGCCTGCTGAGCAACCACAAAGCGTGTGTGGCACTTTGGGGTTACGCATTGCCCTCTGAGTGGCTGTACCTCACTTCCCTGTGGTTGGGGAGACCTGGGCCTTGCCATGCCAGCATTTGATGTCACCATGAATTCTGAACTGTTGGTAACTTGCACATCTGGAGCACTGCTTGGTAAGGCTGTCCTTTCCCAGCGACAGTGCTGGGCATCGTCTCTGAGATGGTGACAGGCCCTGCTGTGCTCTGGGGAGCACCTCGCTGTCTGCCTGTCTAGGGAGAGCACTGCCGTATCTCGAGGGCTCCGTGTGCCTGTCCCAGGCGCTGGGTGCGTGATCTGCACGTCTGCACGCCTGCACGCCTTTTCTGCCGCCTTAATAGCCTCTTGCAGGCCGCAAGCATTTCATTTCCGTCAAGTCCAGTGACCAGTTTCTCAGTTTGTGCTCAGCTTGCCCCACCCTCGATCCTGAGATTTCATGGTTTAGGTGTGCATCCGTGAGCCACTGTGGACACACCAAAGAGTTCTTGTGAAAATGGCAAAGCTTGGGGCCGGAGAGAGAGCTCGGTAGATTTTGTTTGTTTGTTTCTTGCAGTACCAGGGATTGAACTCAGGACCTTGTGCTTGCCAGGCAAGCACTTATTCTACTGAGCTATCTCCCCAGCCCTAAGTTGGGGGAGGGGGTTGTTTTGTTTTGTTTTGTTTTGTTTTTTCTCAGTAAAATAAGCACTTACCTGGCAAGCGTAAGGGCCTGAGTTTAATCCCCGGTTCCATCAAAAAATAATAATAATAATAAAGCTAAGGGAGTTTCACCCCTGAAAGCCCAGTGGCTCCTTGAGCCGCATCAGTCGCATGAGGGACCCACTGTCACTTTTTTTTTTTTTTTTTTTTTTTAATGTATTTGGTACAGGGTCTCACTATGTGGCTCAGACTCCAAGCGATCCTCCTGTGTCAGCCTCCCCAGTGCTGGTACAGCAGGCCCTGTTGGTCTGAGCTAGCTCAGTGCCCCCAGGGGAGGGGGGCGCAGCGCGATGTGTGTTGGCGAGGATGCACCCCAATCCCTGGGCTTGCCTAAGTAGGTGCTTAGTCCACTGAGCTATTTTGCCATTGCCCCCCCCCACTGTCACTTCTTAACCCAGTCAATCCTTATCCCTTGACTTGTGCTTCTGCAAAAAAAATGCGTTTATATGGCTCTGTCATCCCGGCAATCAGGTGGCTGCGGCTGGAAGATGGCTGTGAGTTTGAGTCCAGTCTGATCTACATAGTGGTTTTGTTGTTGTTTTAATCTTTTATTTGGTACAGGGTCTCATTACGCAGCCCGGACTCCTATAATCCTCTTGCCTCAGCCTCCCCAGCACTAGGGTTATAGTCGTGCACCCCCACTCCCAGTCTAGGGGCAGCATCACAGCGTGCCCTTGTTCCAGGGCTCGAACCCAGGTCTTGTGCTTGCCAGGCAGGTGCTTCAACCACTGAGCTATATCCTCAGCCCCACACAGTGAATCTAAGGCAGCCTAAGCTATATACTTTGAGACCCTGTGACAAAAAGGAAACCTTAATACTGGATAGAGTGAGGCTTCCTGCGGATTGCTGTAGCCACTTAGTCCTTTCGCCTGTCATCCAAGTCACTGGATGTCCTGCCTATGAGAACCAGCTGGGCTTGTCACAGCTCAGAGGAGACTCAGCCCCACACTGCCTTGCCTGCTGGTCTACACAGAGCACAGCATGTCTGTGTAGCTCCTGTGTTGGGCTTTAGGCACATCTATAAGCACTGCACGTTTCTTTAGAGTGGTTTGTTCCTAAATTCCTTGTTAGTATGTAGAAGTTGGACTGATTTGGGGGTGAGTTTGTTTGTTGGGAGTGGGGTTTTTTGTCTTTGCTCTTCCGAGACAGGCTCTCCCTGTGTAGTTGAGGCTGGCCTGGAATTCACTGCAGTCCTGCGGCCTTGGCCTCCTGAGTGCTGGGATGACAGGCATGCACTGCGACACCCAGCCTGCTGTGATCTTGAACTCGGATGTGTGTTTTCATGCCCCTAGGTTCCCCCGTGCACAGGCATGTCTTCTGTGCCCCTTATTTGTGTGGTTTGGTTCTGTCACTGCTGGAGACTGAGCCCAGGGACCTCTACTGCTGAGCAACCTCCTCACCCCCTTATTTTCTTTCACTTGTTCTCTCTTAGCAGAGACTAAGTTAGCTCAGCCTGAGCTCAAACTTGTGATCCTCCTGCCTCAGCCTCCCAAGTAGCTGGATTATAGGGGTGTGCTGCTACACCTCACATTTTAATAGCTTTGTTAAACAAGTATTAATATTTAGCAATTGTGTGAGATTAGTAAGTGATATCAGTAACATCAAGTACTGCTTAATATGATTTAACTGAAGATGTGGAAACCGTGTACCACGTTGCTCTTAAGTCTCCGTGGGCATGCGCAGTCAACAGCTTAGGAAGAAGCTCTGCGCTGGAGTTGTTACTTCCCGTATCCTCCTCCCTGCCAGCCCCATGCCTTAGGCAGCAACTAGTCTTTTTGTGTGTGTGAGACAGTCGTGCTGTGTAGCTCAGGGTGTCCTCTAATTCACGGCAGCTCTCCTGCCTCAGCCTCCTGAGTGTCTAGCTTACACGTGTGACCACCATGCCCAGCAGCCACCAGTCTTCTGCAGATTTTCCTCTTCTGCACTTCTGTGTGAGTGGAATTATACAGGACACATTATCCTACAACAAGCTTTCATTCAGCACAATATTTACATAGTTCATATATGTTTTAACATGTATCATGTAAAAATGCTTTTCATGGCCAAAGATTACTCTTTTTTGTGTGGTTTTTATATTAGCCTTTTGTAGTCAGGGTTCTACGTCTATAGATTCACCAGCCCCAAATGGAGACTCTTAGGTGAAAAAGAGCCCTCTGTCCTGAACGGACGCACACTTTGACCCTCCCTGAGCCACAGGAATAAAAGTGTTGGGGTGGCACTTACATTGCGCTGGAGGTGACCCATGCTAGACACAACAGACACTATGTTGTAGGGCCGCGTGGACAGGATGAGATGCGCGTCTGGAGGTGCTGGTGTGCACAGGGGTCTGGCGCAGCGCTGCGGGCGCCGGGCTTTCCTCACGCACTCCTCTCTGGACTTCGGGCTGCTGCTCCGTGGCTGATGGAAGAACGCTGCAGCTGCGTGCGTGCGTGTCTACTGAGGCCGTGCTCCTTTCTCGATGTTCACCCAGGAGGGGATCATGGGTCTCTGCTCACTGCATTCAGCCACCTGAGCAGCTGCCCGTCGCCCGCTCACGCGCCCGGCAGCGGCACCCGGGTCCCGGTCGCACACAGTCGTTCTGCCCGTGTCCGTGGGTGTGAGGTGGGATCTGACCGTGACTTTGATTCTCAGCCGCCTGATGACCATGCTGAGTCGGTCTTCCTGTGCTTATTAGCCTGCTGCATAGCTTTTCTTTGCAGAAATTCCATTCAGATCCTTTGCCTGGTTTTTTTTATAATTTTTGTTGGTGTTGCTTTGTGTTTTGAGACAGGGTCTCCCTACGCAGTCGAGATTCACCCTGTGTTCTCTGTGTGCTCCATGCAGCCTCAAACTCGCCGTCCAGCTGCCTCTGCCTCCCAGTGGCTGGCAGTGCAGACACGCCCCGCCACGCCCAGCAGCACAGTTTCACTTTGTGGTATCCTGTGAGGCATGAAAGTTTAAATTTGGAAAAAGTTCAGCTTTTCTTGGGTGGTTTATGCTCTGGGTGTCATTTCTTTTTTTTTTTTTTTTTTT